TGTTCCTTATCGGTGAAGCGAACGTGAAACGGTAATTTGTGTCATGAGTCGTGGTGTGTATCGGATGTTAGTGATCGAGGTTTCAACAATCACGCATTGAACTCCAATCACTGAATTCTAATCATTCGCAACCGCTTTCCCCGCATACATCAATGACGAGACAATGGAATCGCCGATCTTGGCACAGACGACGTGAAACCGTCTGGGTAAAGAAACCAAGACGAAGACGATGAGGAACGACAGGCGGACGGGGGTGGAATGGAACGGAGGAGAAACGTTGGCACAGACAGGGCCCTAACGGGCGACGAGAATCTTACGCTAGAGGGAGAAAGAGAAAGAAGGAGAAGGAGGACGCGATTGTAAGTTTCAGGATGCTGCTGAAGGGAACCGTACGCGACCGTATTCTCCTCGTTCTCCTTCACGTCCTCTTCGTCCCTTTTCGAGGCTCTCCCTCTCCCCTCCCCCCCGCACTTCCCCTCGTTCTCGTCAGTCCGCGTAGTATTCCGTTTTTTTCCCCGATGACGGCAACTTTTTATCAAGCGCGAGACTCACATACTTCCTGCCCGACAACGGGCTGAAATTCCACGCGGTAGTCGTCACGATACGCAGTAAGAAGCTAATCGAGCTGGATCCGTCAGAAGGAGCTACCGAGTGATCCGGAGGGTCCCGCAGGAGAAAGACAAGATTCTCCATGGGGTGCCAACGAGACGTTCCAGTCTTCCCCGGGCTGTTCTTGCGCCGGTGAAAAGCACGCGGTACCAGTACCAGAATTTTTTGCGTAACTTAATGAAGCGAAAGAAGGGTCGGCTCCATTAGGCAATTTAACTCGCGGCGCATGGATTTTGCTTCTTTCTTTCTTTTCTTTTTTAACGAACACACGTCTCTTGGGACACGGTATTTGGAACATTCGCTGCTGTCAAAAAATGGCAATTTATTGTCGAACGCGTTGAATTTAACGCGAGCAAACTGTGATATCTATGAATCAGTTATAATCTCACAAAATTAAAATAAAAAAGCTGATGACGAGCAAAACAAGCAATAAAAAAGGATTTTTACTGATAAAGCACAAATATATTTTTGCTAATATGATAAAAAATTTAATACAAATTTTATCGCATTGATTATTCAATTAAATAACAAAAGAATGCTCTCAACTAAACATTAAAAATCTACGGACGATTCACGATACCTCCAGTAATATTTCGTGCATGACTGACGTTTTCCCAACAAGACGATTAAACGATTAACCATTCTCACATGGCTACAGAGAAATTGTTTGGAAAATCGATGAGCTTCCGTTGCCGCGGCGTATTCGCGCCAGAGTTCGCGATAATGTTTAGAAGAGGTTGCCTTGGGAAAGTGGAAACAGCTGCTGGAATGTTTCAACAGAGCCTTTCGGCGTTAATAGAATAATGGGGACTACACGAGCATCTCCGAGGATGATAGGAACACGATAGGAAGTTTCACCGCGGGGTGTCCGTGGTGCATGCAACAGGGCCGAGGTCAATCGTCGACGAGTGATACCTACGCGGTTAGAAAGTCAGGAGATGTTCAGCGATTGATGCAACGTCTCCTTCGCGAACGTCCGATTACACTCACTTTAATGCCGAGAGGCGGCTGTTAATTGGAAAATCGGCGTTGCGGTTGATTCGACTCTCTGGGATACGAAAGGCGCTTCTTCGACTTTAGAGTTTGCTCCGTTGAATGCAAGGAGCTCTTCATGGGGTGCCAAGGAGTGTACCGGAGAGGTCGTTTTGCTCCTCTGCAGTAGAAAGGAGGAATTATTACGCAGGCGTGATTATGCTGTCGCTATATTGATACGAGTCGCTTCTCTGGCGTCGCAAAACTCGATAAGACAGTTAAGTAAAGTTGTATACGAAGGTGTATATAACAACGTAACAGCAGCGGATGATGATCGACATGAGAAAAATGCATATCTTTATAAACACAGTGCGGTATCTTAAATTATAGTATCTTAAATTTAAAGTACGTGATGATATTATATTTAAAATTATCTGGTGAAGAACTATACTATACTAATGATATCCGAAGAGAGGCTTCGTCTAATCTATCAGCAATATTTACGTGACAGGACATGTTAATAAACGAGCTGAAAAGGCGACGCGGTTTAAGTTTCCCCGGGAACTTCCTACCTATCTTTGCAAACATCAGCTTTAATCGACATAGCAATAAACAGCCTTCGCTCAGTAAAATGCAGTAAAAGAGGTGCGGAGTAAAGACGCTGTAAAAACACACACGTTCCCAATACTACGCGATCGCGATATCATCACCGGATAAGCTAGAGAAACAAATATATCCGGCGTTGGCTTATTTCAAACTTGAATTTGCGGCTGACAGGTTGATGCGGAATCGGAGATGAAACGGCGTTGCTTGGCTCCTCCAACGTCCATCTCGACGACGATGACGATTGTGTCATAAATTGACTCGTTAGTTCGATGCACGCACTATCGAGCAGGCGAGAGAATTCAAATGCAAACGCTTATCCGTTCCTCTATCTGTCGCGCGTATGAATGCACCTTGGCCTTCGTGCTCCTTCCATCTTTCCGTCTAGACCAAGGAAAGGACACGGGCAGTTCGATATTGATTATGTTAACTAGCGGATCATTTGGCACGACTGACTGTGAAACGACTCTGCCTGGCACGATAACCCTGACGAGCGGTCATCCCGCGGATGACGTCCGATTACGACGTGATACCATCCACGCACGGTAACGTCACGTACATACGTGCAAGTCGAAAGTGTCGGAGTGGCATTCGTCTGGCCAAATATAACTTGCGCCGCTACAACTGACGAGGATTTTATCTGTGGAGATTGCCACTCGAGCATGCATCGCTAAATTTCGAAGTACGAAGTCGCAACAACGTTCGGGATGGTTGCTAGATATTTTTCGCGATGCAAAATTCTTCAGATATATATATCGAGAGACAATCAACCTTGTGGATCATATTGCTCGTAGCTGTTAGAAAAAGAAAAAGAGAAAAAAAAATAATATATATATATATATAAATATTTTAACTTTACGCAAGAAATACGATACGTATTCTATATTATATGAGATAAATTGACAGTTGTCATTTGAGTTTAGAAGTTCACGCTTCCGCGTTCTCTCTCGAATCTAGGATGTATTTTATCTAACTAAGCTTCATCCTACGCAGAGTTCATATAATTTTTAGCGCGTCTGCTTCAGCCTCGCCCGTAACGGAACCTTATGTTTTGTGAAATATAAATACTTGGTCGATTTCCGCGCCTAGACGTAGGTCTTTTTAAATCATAGCGATTACAGTGAAGATGAAGATTTCGAGCAATGTTATTACCGGTCGGCTAGCGATAGAACTAGTTTACGTGTCGGCATATTAACCTCGAAACTGTAAATGATTATTGCAGTCTAAGAATGGCCACGAAACGAAATTACAGTAATTATCTCGGCGTGCTTAGGTAAAACGAGGTTTCTCCGCTTTGGTCGGTAATTGCACTAGTATTGCTGGGTTAGCTGCTGACACGATGCTTTATCGGTTGCTTTAGGCCCCTTGAATCTTTCCGTCTTCCTTAATCTACCTACTAATCACCAATTTATTTTTGATAAATTGAACAACATTAATCCGGGTCTATTTAAAACGAACTTGGTATGAAAATATTCCCTTTATACGCGCCTTTAATAATTTTAATATTTGTGCAAAACTCTCTTCAAAATGTTTAACTTTGAACTTCCGTTTAATAAAAGTAATTACGAGTTTTCAAACTTTTTCACTTTTATTATTAACATATAACTAAATAAAATTATCGGTATGTTTATGCAAGTGTAATAGGAGTTCTAAATTAAATATAATTTTTCGCAAATTCATGTTATTCAAGTCAATATCAATTTATTCTATATCAAATTTGAAGAGCGCGAGATTACACGCGCTTTCTGAAATTATGGTGTGCATTAACTGACTGTCGGCTAGATATTATCAGATACGATTCGGCAAACTAATTAAGTAAATACGTATACGATCGTATACGATAAATATCCAAAATTATAGTGCATTAGCTGAGTACAAGATAACTCTACGCGTAATACTCTGTTTTTCTCAACTAAACGATTTTACGATCAATAATCGATCGGCCAAGAAAGTCCTTTCCGTAATACGATGCAAGATCGATACTTCTTCAGCCTCGAGGCTAAACGCATCACAATCGTGAAAACTATTGTCCACTGCACTGCAGTTAATAATTACTAAAATCTTTTCAACTAACGTGAGCATCATTCCGCATAGTTCTTAATTTTTGCAAAAATACACACTCAAGTAATTAATTTGTTAAGTAATCGATTTTAAATTTATCAAAAATTTGTCGCAACTATGTTATTTCATATTTTTACCATCAACAACCTTATGAGGATAATCCTTCCTCTTATAATATTTTAATTTAGGATAGCGATACATTCAACTTATCATTTTGTATGACTATGTATGATATTGTTGATGAAAATATCACGATTACAGTAAAATATAACAAACATGTTGACGGCATCAATAAATAACATTGCAACTTTTTTAAATTTTGTCTTCTAGTGATATATCAGTAATATGTTTATCATAAAATAATAATTTGAAATTTCAATTTGTACAACTTACTTTTATTTCAGTTAATGGACAATGATCTGTCAAGATGAAAATTATAGAAACTTCAAGAATTGCAATTTTACAATTGTAATACTCCTCTTTGTACACAAAAACATTAGTTTTAAATCAAGACTATATATATATATATATATTCTCATATATAAGCAACAATATTATAATCTTCATAGAGATTTTTAATCTTAAGAGCAAAAATACTTGCATCGATACAAATTAATCATCATCAATCAATTAAATCAAGATCTAAAACTTTTAAGAAAATTAGAATATTTTTGTTAATAAATATGATAATATGTTTCTTGATTTAAGACTAATTTTTTTCTCTATACTATCGATATATATCGGGACACACTTACCAGACTATTTGCAGCGACCGTGTAACCGAGGGCGAGCAGAACGACGAGAACTCGGAAGATCGCGGCGGCGCCGCCGTTGATCATGCCCGGAAGTGGATCGATGGATCGCAGCCAGCAGGGCGACGAGCACAGACGGTTCGACGGCGACGGGGACGCGTTCGTCGGCGAGACAGGCCGGTGGTGCTCCTGTCGCGGACGCATCGCGTCATGATCGCGACGTGCTGCCGCTCGCTTCCTGCGAACGTGAATCCGTCGTGGCTCGACGGCTGTTTCACACGTACGTATCCACCTATCTACCTACCTACCTACCTACCTACCTACCTACCACCCACCCACCCTCGAGACGGAGGACGAGGGAGCTACGTGCGTAAACGCGTGTGCCGCGCGCTCGCGTACGCGGCCCTACGCACCGCCACACGCGGATCTATAAATACGGGCGCAACTCCACGCGAAGAATTTCAAACAACCGCGCCGTGAAATACCGTCGGTGAGTCTCGGGGAGACTCCGAGGCTCCGACGAGCATCGCCGTCAACGTTGTCGAACGCACCACGATGAGATACGATGGTGTCTTGGCCTTGACACTGCGTCCTAAATTTGAACTCGATCTGAAATCCGATACAGATATTTGAGCGATCCAATAGTAGAAATACATCGGAATTATGATGAAAGTTGTAAGTTACTTTCTCATTATGATTGCAATCAGTCAAATGAGCTACGATTAATTTTATCTGAAGGCTTTGAAGAAGTTGCTTTTGTATAAGAAAAGTTTACAACGTACATTTATATAATCGCAAGCGAAACTTCAGTGATAATTTCAACAATGATATTTCTGTATTTTACACGTGCCGCGAAGATTCCTATTATAGCGCGGCATGATTTATATCTCTTCCAGCCGACCGGCTAAGAAACGAGCGATATAAAAAAATACACATTTCATGCATTTTAACTACTTTGTACCAACGAAACCGTTTGACGTCTCGTTCTCGCGTGCAAATCGTTACAAGATCAAAAGATTATACTTGACGTCTCTACCCCTTGAAGAAGGCGAACCTTCGCCGCTATACACTTCAGTCTCTAAATAACGTGCACCGACCGGGGGAATCTTACCCCGGTAGCTTCAACGTGAGCCGAAAGAATAAATAGCTCGAAGTAGCGAAGTTCTTCGATGCGCGTGCATCAAGGTCGACCGATAGACGTCGCGGAGACGCCGATAGCTTCCACCTTGACGGTTTCGGTTCTCGGAAGCTATACCTGCTATTTTTGACGAGTCTACAGCAGACGACGATGGACGACGAGTAGTAGCAGTGGATGAAGACGGGGACCGCTGTAGATTACGCGTGAAGTCACGACTGTCCCGCGTGAATGTCCTGTCTGTCGGCGGGCTCGTTGCGGTAACGAACGATCGTGCCTGATAGTCGTTTACCGCGAATCGCCGTCCGCGAGATTAAAGGCGAACCCTGTTTTATAAAGATATCTCACTCCTCCTCTCCAGCCAGTAAAATTGTCCAGCGTGGAATACGACGTTGGCGGAGCTGTGCGGACGCACACCGCCGGCCAACCGCGGAACCGGCTGATATTTTTAGTTCTCCCGACTTTCAACCGACTGTCTATCTTCACCTTTGAGAGCTACCTAGTCGCTCTCAACTCGTGGTGATATCTTTGTTCTTCCTTGAAGCACTCTCCCGCGTACGTCGGTACGTGGCGGCGAATCGTGCCGCGTCCCGGTGAGCTTGATCGATGAATACACGATGAGATATTTCGGGCTTCTTTCCAGTCGGCATCCCACGTACGATTGTGTTTCCTCACGAACTACCGGAACTATCCTGAATTTATCTCGATATTCTTCTCTACTAATAGATGCTTTACAAGATACATATCTCATTTGATTGTTTAAGGAGGATAAGATAAAATAATGTTTAATATTTTAATCGTATTGCACGTGTAGCCTCAATGTCTTGACACAGGTAAACCAGTAGAATCTTCAACTTTTTTTCTATTTACTGTTTTATCCGGTGTATGTCATCAATACTGATACCTCTTTTGGTTTAGTATAAAAGCGAGCTTCCCCGTCAATCGAGTCTTTGATAATGAAGACGAATCGGGAAATGCAATCATCTTTCTACACTGGCGCGCGATGATGTTTATCTATCATCGGAGGCGCGATAAGATGGAGGTTGCTCGATTGCGCAAAATGACACAAAATCCGATGTGCTCGCTCGTACAGGAGCCACCCGAGCGAGCACACGCACGTGGCTCCAGGCCGACTGACGAGATACACGCGCACGAGAGGAAGTATCAACGGAGGCTGCTGAGAGGAGTGGCTGCCAAGCTAGGCGGAAGTGGAGGGTGATTCTGTGGCGGGAACAACCGGGCAGCGGTGGGGTAACAGCGGTATCGTCGACAGATGATACCTCTACTTCTACCGTAGTAGAAGATGCATTTACAGTCGATCACGCGTGACGTCCGCGCAAAGATGGATTCATATCGCGCGAGTGAAAAGAGAGAGAGAGAGAGAGAGCTCCGTCGTTTGTTTATCACCGTTCGGAAAACGATAGAAGAGCTCAGGGTGAGCTCTCGATGCCGATCGCCAATCGCTGACCGGCCGGACTGGTCTCTTATCGCGATCAGCCCTTTTTCAACATTCATTTTAAAATAGATCAGTCGCTTAATAGGGCGATACTAAAATGCTCTTACGCTTGCATCTTGGTCGTTACGCTCGAATCGCGCCGATGAAGATGCCCGGCAATTTCTTGTTCAATTAAGACGTACAGTTTATCATATGGAAAAAGTTCCCATGAAAAAATCATGAGATATTGAGTCGCCTTTGATATTAAGTGCTTGTGCTTCTATGTGACATGATTTTTAATGCTTATGAACATCTAGGTCACTCGGACGTGCGTCTTGCTTGAGATGACAATGAAAGAAATGTGATGTATAAGAAATTTCAAAATAATCATGACATTAAAAAAACTGCTCTCGATAATTCCACAGTCCAATGATAATCGTTATCTTTTTTTCGATTGACAATAATGTTAATCGAATCGCATGATATTTTTTAAAATGGTATATTGAGATATACT